TGACTGAAGCTGACCTGAGGCACAGTGTGGTGGCCCTGTACTGGCAACTGTTTACTGGTAGATAGTAGACCTCTAGATGTTTTACGTAGATGTATTGTAGGAATTGAAGCAAGTCGGGGGGTCCTGAGGACTGCAGGCTTCCTCTAGTTGTAACCAACAGGCAAAGAAACGGTTCCTGTTAGGTGTACTGCACAGCAGTGCGTGAAGAGCACCATCTGCGCCTGCCCAATGGGCTGACCTGTGGACAGACTCCATCCTCCCAAGTTAACGGATGTTGCATAAGCCGATCCTTCCTGCCTGTGGAGCTGCCCTTTCTCTTTTCTTTTTTTTTCCCCCAAGACAGGGTTTCTCTCTGTAGCCTTGCTGTCCAAGACTCTGTAGACCAGGCTGGCCTAGAACTCAAGAGATCCACCAGCATCTGCCTCCTGTGTGCTGGGGTTAAAGGACCGTACTACCATGCCCAGCTGGAACTGCCCTTTCTTTTTGGTCTTTCTGTGTAACCCTGTCTGGGCTAGAACTCAGTAGACCAGATTAACTGTCACATTCTTATTTTTCAGACAAGGTCTCACCGGATAGCCTTGGCTGGCCTGTCTCTGCCTCACCAGTGCTGGAATTAGAGCTGGCTGCCATCATATCCTACCTTTTTTAAATTTGTGATGACCGTCTTGCCTCTGCCTCCTGGGTGTTGGGATTACAGATAGGCACCACTATACTCAGCTTTTTTGTTTTGTTTAGACAGGCTCTCACTCACCAAGTTGCCCTTGAACTCTCAGCAGTACTCCTGGGATTATCTGCTTGGCCCAGTAGGCTGGGCTCAGCTGTACTTCCCAGGAGGCTAAATCTGATTGCTTCTCTTCTACACTAAGAGTGAAAGGGAGGAATGAGCTCCCATGCTTCTTTTGGCCTCAGGTTTGAAGCTGATGATAATAACACCTGCTGCTTTGCCTTTGAGACCTTGAGAGCTTGTTTGGAAGTTCTCGCAGGCAGCATATACCCTTGACAGAAGAACAGTCCTCTTTCTGTTCTGTAGAAGGGACTCACCTTTAACTGTACAGAAGGAAGGTGACACCCAGCTAGCCAGCCACAGCCAAATCAACTCTGGATGTTACAGCCAGATCACTGCTACTTTTTTTTCATTGTCTTTAAGTGGATCACTTGCCCATTGTCCACAGCTGGGACCGGTGGTGCAGGCCTGTAGTCCAGGGAATCTGAGGTGGTGCAGCTCAGGCTGCAGAAGACCCCCACCCAAAACAAATAGGAGGGAAGGTAGCTCAGCAGTTATGAGCACTTACTGCTCTTGCAGAGGACCCAAGATCAATTCCATGTTCATAGGTCACTCACAGTCATCTATAACTCTGATCTGATGCTCTTTTCTGGCTTCCAGCGGCACCAGGAATACATACAGTGCATATATGTACAGACAGGAAAACAGTGAAACACATAAAAAGAAAAGCTTAAAACAAAAACAAAAGCTAGACATGGTGATGGCATGCCTTTAATCCCAGCACTGAGGAACGGGGTGGAGGTGGGGGTCCAGATGGGAGGGGACACAGATCTCTGAGTTTGAGGCCAGCCTGTTGTACGTAGTGAGTTCCAGTTCCGTGCCATGCAGGGCTACACAATGTGACCTTGTTAAAAGAACAAAAAAAGTCACTAGAATAAGAAAGGAGTCGATTGAATTGATGGTGGAGCCTGGCAATTGGATCTATAGCCCCAGCACTGGGGAAGTAGCGGAGAGAGGGTGCTGAGTTCAGATTCAGCCGGGCCTTCCTGAGGCCCTCGCCTTAAAACAAGGCATTTGCCTCTAATTCCAGCACTCAGGAGGCAGAGGCAGGTGGATCTCTTGAGTCTGAGGCCAGCCTGGTCTACAAAGCTAGTTCTAGGACAGCTGGAGCTACACAGAGAAACTGTGGGGGATGGGAGGCGGCAGAGTAGGATCTAAAGAAAGAAAATCAATTGAGTTTCAAAAATATTTTGTTGCTTTTTTTATATTATTTAATGTGTCTGTGTGTTCGTGTGTATATGTATATGCAATCGAGTGCAGGTGGCCATGGAGGCTAGAAGCATTGGATCACCTGAAACTGGAATTATTTACGGAGAGTTGTAAGCCACCCAACATGGGTGACAAGAACTGAACTTGGATCCTCTTGGATTCTGCTGAGCCATTTGTCTACCCCAAGATGTGTGTGTGTGTGTGTGTGTGTGTGTGTGTGTGTGTGTGTGTGTGTTTGAATTGAAAATGTTTATTTTCATTTTGTGTGATTGGTTGTTTTATTTGCATATTTGTCTTGGCACCATATGTGCACAGTGCCATCAGAGGCCAGAAAAGGGTTTTGGATTCTCCAGGGCTGAAGTTACAGAGTCACTATGTAGGTGCTGGGAATCAAACCTGTGTCCTCTGAAAGAGCAACCAGTGATAACTGCTAAGCCGTGTCTCCAACACAGGGTCTCACTATGTAGTCCTGACTAGCCTCAGTCTCATTCTCTTGCCTCAGACTCCCTAATCCTGGGATTACAGGCATGTGTGACCATGCTTAATTTGAATTTTACATGTCTTATTTCAGTTCTATACCCGTGAACTTTGAGTTTAGTCATTGCATTTTTTTACAAAAAAGTTTTTATAATCATGATGAGATTAATGGTGAAAGTATATAGGTGTTGTTGCTCATCAGTTACTGTGAACAACAAAGCAGAGCAGATTGATAAGGTCACATAATGAAGTGAGAGGTAGGCTTTTCTAACCCAGTAGTTGCTTAGAACCCAAGGTTGCTTAGAACCAGGGAAGTGTGCAGGCCCATTTCTGAGCTGTAGCTTGACTGCAGTCTCTGGGATGACAAGGACTCCGCAACCTTCTGTGTTCTTCTGACTCTCTTCACTGTCCCCAGGCTCTGCTGTGACCCAGGGCATGAGTAGTGTGTCTCGCTAGAGTTAGGAGAATCCAGTCCATCCTGGTGTCTGTGTTTTCATAGTTTAAAAACGGAACATTGAGGCTTAATGTTCTTGGATCATATACTTTGAAATCGTACAAGGGAATGACTAGAAACTTTCCTTCTGTATGGTGTGTGTGTGTGTATATATTTGCGTGTGTTGGGATGTGTCACCCAGGGATATGTGTGTCCATTTTATGTATTTATAATTTTTATGAGATTTGTGTATGTGTGTGTACAAGTGTAGGTAGGTCAGAGGATAACTTGCGGGAGTTGGTTCTCTCTTATCTTACCAAATGGGTCACAGGGATAAAACTCTTGTTCGTCAGGCTCTGGGCAAGCGTCCACTGAGCCATCTCATCAGTCCGATTCAATTTTTTGAATACTTATGTGTAGGTGTGCATGTGTATGATATGTGGGAGAGAGGGCGCCACGGTTCAGAGAGATCATAGACAGCTTTGGGGCGTCAGCTCTCTCCTCCCCCTGCGGGCTTCAAGGGTTGGAGTCCTCTTCTATGGCATGCACTCTTAACCACTGAACTGTCCTTCTGGCTCTTGCCATCATTTTTAAATTTAGATTTTGTCTTTGTCTTTTCCTACAAAGCATTGTATATGAAGTACTACAGAAATATATTTTTAGAAAGAATTCATCCTCAGATACTTTTCTTTCGTTTTTTTTGAGAGGGTTTCTCTGTGTAGCCTTGGCTGTCCTGGAACTCACTCTGTAGACCAGGCTAGCCTCAAACTCATAGAGATCTGCTTGCCTCTGCCTCCTGAGTGCTGGTATTGAGGTGTGTGCCATCACCGCCTAGCCAGATACCTTTTTTAAAATAATTTTATTTTATTTTTTTGTAGCCCAAGCTGGCCTCAAACTCAAATTCCTTATGTAGCTAAAATTTATCTTGAATAAATAACAGCTCGTAAGTAACAGCTCAGGGTCACCTAATCACAAAGGCCTGACCATTGCATGGTATGCTGTGTTGAGCTGTCTCTCTCCACCGTAATTGCTCTAGAATTTTAGTAACAAGATTGAGGATTCTCCTGGCTCCTGAGAGGCTCTGTATTCGGCTCTCATCTAAATGGCACCTAAAACTGCTTCAGTAGCAGCTACAGGTATCATGATAGCTCTACAAAATCTCGATCATCTCAAGCTTGTGAAAATCTCCAGAACTCCCACAAAAAAGAAAAGACGCCAGTGGCATACTGGGTGTCTAGTACCCCTGTGCTTAGATGGGCCAGCTAAAGTTTAAGGAATTTGCTGTTACTCAGGAAAAACTTTGAAGACCTGGTGGGGATTACAAACTCTGTTTTCAGTCGCCATTTCGCCTGTTACACTCTGGAAGAACAATCTTTATTGCACATGCAGTTCCTTGTGTGTATAAAATGATGGTGTCAGGGGCAGGGGGGCAGGACCAGGCTGGCCTCAAGGTAATGATGAATCCTGCCTCAGCTTCCTGAATGCTGGGATCACAGATAAACATCACCATACTTGTCCAGAAGCAGTTCTTATTTTGTTTTCCCTACCATTCTTAAGACTGAAGGTCAGCTGTGTAGGACCTTATCAGAAGTGTAAGTGACCTTTCAATGTTGGATAATTGAATAGCAGAGCTAAGTTTTAGGAACAAGGAAATGAAGAGATTCTGTTTTTGTTCTGAAAAGTGACTGTGCACACCTATAATCACAGCACTCAGAGGAAAAGGCAGGGACAGCACAATAACTTCAAGGCTAGTCTGGTCTACATAGTGAGTTCTAGACACTGTCTCAGAACACCAAAGTAGCTGGGCAAAGGATGCATATGGGCCTGCAATTCTTGCACTTGGAATTGGGGTGGGGCCCCTGAAGGCAGACGCACTCTGAGCTCTCCAGACCCTGTCAAAGAAACCTCATTGAGTATAGTGGTTTCTGCTCTAGTTCGAGCACTTGAAAGGCTGAGGCAGAAAAATTGTCAGAGCCAACCTAGGCTATTTAAAACATCTCATAAAATAAAACAAAAAATGTTAAAGGTTCAAGAAAATGACTGCAGTTTCAATGGACTTGTGTCTAATTTTATCTTTTTTTTTTTTTCCCCTTGCAGGACTGTTGAGGCCTGGAAGTCCCTCCCCTTCCCCTTCCCCTTTGCCGCTTTGTGGCACCCCCCTCCCTCTACCCTCCTACTTTGATAACCTGGCTATGACTAGCAGAAGTACAGCCAGGCCCAATGGGCAGCCCCAGGCCAGCAAAATATGCCAGTTCAAATTGGTCCTGCTGGGAGAATCTGCAGTGGGGAAGTCTAGCCTGGTGTTACGTTTTGTCAAAGGGCAGTTCCATGAGTACCAGGAAAGCACCATTGGAGGTGAGTGCTTCGTGGGGAGGTTCAGTACTGGAGGTGAGCACTTAGTGATGAGGTTTAGTGCTTAGTAGGCCTTGAAGTGAACATCTGGGACTTGATCGTGGAACTGCAGGGAGATCAGGTGTTCAAGGCCATTCTTAACAATATTAAAGTTTGAAGCCAGCCTGGTCTACATGAAGCCATGTCACAATTTAAAAAAAAAAATATCATGCCAAGCATGGTGGTTCATGCCTTTAATCCCAGCACTCTGGAAGCAGAGGGAGACAGGTCTCTGTATGTTTGAGGCCAGCCTGCTATACATAGTGAGTTCCAAGACAGCCAAGGCTATGTAGAGACTCTGTCTGTGAATAAATCACTCAAAATAAGCTACAAGTAACAGCTGGGCATAGTGCTTCTAATCACTTGGCCTTCTCAAGAGGCCAAGCTAGAGGTCGCTGCCAGAAGTTGACGGCCAGTGGTATTTATTACTTGGCTTTTACTTTTTCACCTAATCCTGCAGCAGTCCAAGAACACTGGATTTCCAAGATGGTCCCAGGGGAAGGAATAACAAAGTTCTCATGAAAAGCCCTTTATTGTATTTTCTATTGTTATATGTGTGTGGATATTTGGCCTGCATTTGTGTCTTGACTGGTGTCTTGAAGGGCCAGAAGAGGGCGTTGGGTCTCCTGGAACTGGAGTGACAGATGGTTGTGAGGCGTACAGTGAGTGCTAGGAATTGGAAGGTTAGCCAATGCTCCTAACCCCGAGCCATCTTTCTACCACCCACCAATCCCCACCTCACCTCTACGCATTGAATAAATACCGCACTTTGGATTAGTACCAAGAAAGAAGGCAGCAAAAGTAGAAAAGGCAGATTTTACCATGCACTACGTCGTAAGTTTCAGACTAGCCCGAACCACATAGTGAGATTCCATTTCAGAGGAGAAAGGAATTGTCGTAACGCCCAAAATCAGTATGTGTGTGTTCATACTTCTGTCTTCTAGAGGAAAATAAATAATATCTTCTTTATACATCAAAAAACTATTCCTTTTCCATTTCTGTTTTACTCCTCCCTTCATCTTAATGTCAATGAAGTTTTACTGAGTGACATCACAAGCAGATAAAAGAGCTGAACTAGGGGTAGGGTCCGCTCATGCCTTTAATCTCGGCACTCAGGAGGCAGAGGCAGGCAGATCTCAAAATTCGTGGCCAGCTTGATATTTACAGTGAATTCCAGGACAGAGAAACCCTGTCTTCAAATACCAAAAAATAAAATAAAATAAAAATAAAAGAGCAGGATGAGGTTCTTTCCTGAACATGGCGGGAACACTCTGGAAGCTGAGGCAGTGGGACTTCTTCAAGTTCTGGGTCAGCCTGAGGCTACCTAACAAGACCCTGCCTCCAAAAGACAACACACCCAGGGACTGGAGAGACGGCTGAGAAGTTAAAAGCACATACTGGTCTTGCAGAGATACACAAAGACACACAGAGGCTTGGTCTGGAGCAAACCTCCTCAGGTGGCTTATAACCACCTGTAGCTCCAATTCTGTGGGGATATGACACCTCTGGACTCACTAGCACAACCCACACAATACATGTACATATAATAAATATAAAATGTATATAAAATATAATTATATTCTTTTTAAATAATATAATTTTTAAAACAAATACATGCATAGTTAAAAATTAAAAAAAAAAATCACTGAGGCCTGTAATCTTACCTACTTGGTAGTTAAGGCAGGAGGAACCAAGTTCAAAGCGTATTATGTGCTACAGAGTGAGTTCCAGATTAGTCTTCATTACAAACAAGCCCCTGGCTAAAAGAAAAGTACTAGAAATACAGCTCAATGGGTAGAGTGCTTGTTTACCATGCAAAAGGCCTCGTGTCCAACCCCAGCACTGTCCCACCAAGATGTGTTGTTATTTTGGAGCAGTAACTCATGCATAATGTAATGGGATGAGTCTCTCAATAAGCCCATACCCATCCTTTAAGTATCGTGTACTTAACAGCCTTCTAAGTCTGTTTTAAAATCTTTTCTATTCTTTGAGGTTTTTCTTTGTTGAATTTATTTTTGATTTATTACAATTTACTCACTTTGTATCCTAGCTGTTGCCTCCTCCCTCGTCCCCTCCCTATCCCAACTCCCCTCCCTCTTTTTCCATGCCCCTCCCCCAGTCCACTGATAGGGGAGGTCTTCCTCCCTTCTGACCCTAGCCTATCAGGTCTCATCAGGACTGGCTGCATTGTCTTCCTCTGTGGCCTGGTAAGGCTACTCCCCCCAGGGGGAGGTAATCAAAGAGCCAGCCACTGTGTTTCTTACTAGGGAACCCACTTAGAGACTGAGCTGCCACGGGCTGCATCTGTGCAGGGGTTCTAGGTTATCTCCATGAATGGTCCTAGGTTGCAGTATCAGTCTCAGAAAAGACCCCTGGGCCCAGATTTTTTTTGGTTCTGTTCTCCTTGTGGAGCTCCTGGCCCATCCAGGTCTATCTCTCCCTTCTTTCTTAAGATTGCCTGCACTCTGCCCAAAGTTTGGCTTTGAGTCTCAGCCTCTGCTTTAATACTCTGCTGGGTAGAGTCTTCAGGAATAGTGCTACCTCAAGATCCAGCTATACCACTCCTAGGCATATATCCAAAATATGCTTAAGTATACAACAAGGACATTTGCTCAACCATGTTCTTAGCAGCTTTATTGGTAATAGACAGAATCTGGAAACAACCCAGATGTCCCTGAATGGAGGAATGGATGCAGAAATTGTGGTACATTTACACAATGGAATACTACTCAGCAATTAAAAACAAGGAACTCATGAAATTTGCAGGCAAATGGTAGGAACTAGAAAAGCTCATCCTGAGTGAGGTATCCAGAAGCAGAAAGACACACATGGTATATGCTCACTTATAAGTGGATGTTAGATATATAATATAGGATAATCATACCAAAATAACTAATCAAGAAGGAGGACCCTGGGTAAGATAATCAATCCTCATTCAGAAGGATGGACATTGAAAGGAGAAAACAGGAAACAGGACAGGAGCCCACCACAGAGGGACTCTGAAATACTCTTTGATTTTTTTTTGAGACATGCTTTCTCTGGGTAGACCTGGCTGGCCTCGAGTTCAGTTTGTAGACCAGGCTGACCTCAAACTTACAGAGATCACCTGCATCTGTCTCCAAGAGTGCTGGGATTAAAGGTATTTAAACAATCTTGCTTAAGTCTGTATTAAAATCCTTTCTTTAAAATGTTCCTGGAGATGCTGAAGAGATGGGTTAGTGGTTAGGGAAGTTTGCTGTTGTTTCGGAGGACCTGAATTCCCAGTATCCACCTGACAGTTCACAGCCACCAGTAATTGCAGATCCAGGGGGTCCTCTTCTGGCTTCTGTAGGCATCTGTCTTCACATGCATATAGGTACACAAATAAATGGTAAATGTTTTTTTGTTTGTTTGTTTGTTTGTTTAAGAAATAAAAATTGACATTTTACTGGACTATATATACATATAGGTCAACAAGATGGCTTGGAACGTAACAGTGCTTGCAGTGCTAACCTGAGGACATGAGTTCAGTCTCTGGATCCCATGTAAATGTGGAAGGAGAGAACACGCTCCGCAAAGTTCTCTGAATTTCACATGTGCATCTTGGATGTGTGGTATACTAGTACCTGCCATCAAGCTTTAAGATCCTGTGGGTTTGTTTGTTTGAGACAGGAACCCATGTAGCCTAGACTAGCATAGCAAGAATGGCCTTGTTTTCCTGATCTCCTCCCACAACCTTCAAGTGCTAGAAGTATAGGTGTGTCCTACTCTGAAAATCATCTCATTTTTTTGTCATTGTTTTTATTACTTATTTAACTTTTTATACATAACTTAGTTTTATTTTATGTGTTTTTCCTACATATATGTCTATGTGAGGGTTTCAGATCCCCTGGAACTGGAGTTACAGATAGTTGTGAGCTGCCATGTGGGTACTGGGAATTGAACCTGGGTCCTTCAGAAGAGCAGCCAGTTCTCTTAACCTCTGAGCCATCTTTCCAGCTCCTTAATTTCTAGTGTGTGTATGAGTGGTTTTCCTGTATAGCATGAGTGTGCCTGGTACTTGCACACTCAGAAGAGGACATCAGATTCCCTGGTCTGGAGTGATGGATGCTTGTGAGCCACCGTGTGGATCTGTGTAAGAACAACCAGTGACTGGCTCTTTCTAATTCTTTTTGTTTGTCTGTTTGAATGTTTTTTTATTTATTGTTACAGATTGGTTATTCTGTGTGTATGAGAGGTTGACCTGTATGTTTGTTTGTGCACCATGTGGGTTTGGTGCTCATTGAGGTTGGAAGAAGACAGGGAACCCCGAAAACTGAATTGCATGTTGTGAGCCACAGTGTGGCTGCTTGGAATCAAACTGTGGCAGAGCTACAAGGCCGAGCTGACTCCCCAACCTCCTCCTTCTTCTTGACACGGCTTCTGCCTGACACTTACTGCCTTTTTCCTTCTCTCTTTCTCTTTTTTCTTTTTTCTTTATTTTTCTTTTTTTTCAAGACAGGATTTCTCTGCTTAACCTTAGCTGTCCTGGACTTGATTTGTAGACCAGGTTGGCCTCAAATTCACAGAGTTCAAACTACCTCTGCCTCCCAAGTACTGGGATTAAAGGTGTGCACCACCACTACCTGGCTCTAAGGCTTTTTTGTTTTTTTTTTTTTGTTTTGTTTTGTGTTTTTTTTTTTTTTTTCAGACAGGGTTTCCCTTTGCAGCTGTGGCTGTTAAACTCACAGAGATACACCTGTCTCTGCCTTCCTGAGTGCTGGACTTGCAGGCATGCACCACCGCACTCAGCTAAGACTCTTTCTTAACTGAATAAACAAACAAATAAATCCAAGGTCTCGCTTGTCCCAGAGTGGCCTCAAACTTGTTAAATAGCCAAGTATGCCCTTGAATTCCTTAGCCTCCTGCCTCTGCCCACAAATGTTCAGGGGCCATCTTGATTCCGGTCCATTGTTTACATGAATGGAGAACACAGCCTGTAGTTGATGGGCCCGTGTGGCTACTGGTCTTAGAATGTGCAGAGTTAATTTGAAGGGGAGTGGGATCTCCCCACCCATTCTCCTACTTACAGTTTCTTTATTTTCTTTTTTGTAGCGGCCTTCCTCACCCAGTCTGTGTGTCTAGATGACACAACAGTCAAGTTTGAAATTTGGGACACAGCTGGGCAGGAGCGATACCACAGCTTAGCCCCCATGTACTACAGGGGTGCCCAGGCTGCAATTGTGGTTTATGATATTACTAATCAGGTAGGTGGACTGAGAAGATTGTTTACTGGGATGTATCTATAGAAATTAAATTAGGTGGGAAGAAGTAACAGGTTCTTGAAATAGCAAAATGAAAGTACCAAGTATGCTTCCAAGCACAAAGCCAGACCAAATGGATTGTCAGAGATGATGATTTCAGAGGGGAGGGCACCTGAAGGAGGAGAGTCACGAGCCTGAGAAGGTAATTTGTGGATCAGCACTCATTCCAGCCCATTTTCTCTCGTTTTCCTAGGAAACATTTGCCCGGGCAAAGACATGGGTGAAGGAGCTGCAGCGGCAAGCCAGCCCCAGCATTGTCATTGCCTTGGCAGGAAACAAAGCTGACCTTGCCAACAAGCGCGTGGTGGAGTATGAAGTAAGGCGGCCACACAGTCTCTCCCAGCACTCTGGCTCTGTGTGTGGGACCTCTTTTTTCCAAACCAGTCTCCTGGAAATTTTATGTGAGACATTCATTGTCCCATTCCTTAGTTTAAATACTGCCACACTGTGACCAGAATGGCAGCCAGGAGACTTCAGAGGAGTAGAAGACACTTCCAGGGTTAGGGAAATACTGGTTACAGCGTGCCAGGATGAAAACAGGAAACAGGGAACACTTAAATTTGAGGGAAGGGGCTTTGACATGCCGTAACCCACAGATTCATGTCAGTTCACCCTTCTCCGTAGTTAAGATTCCTTACACTGGGGAAGTGGATCTAGTTGTAAAGTACTTGTGTGGCAAGTGTGAAGACGTGGAATTCCCAGCATTATAAAGACATGGTAACGTTGCGCATGCTTGCATTCTCGGTGCTGGGGATGTGGAGGCAGGAGTACCACAAGGGACTTGGTGGCCAGCTACTCTAGCTAAAACAGTGTGTTTCAAGTTCAGTGAGAGAGGTTAACTTAGAAAGCAATAATGTAGGCTGGTAGGATGTCTGCAGGTGAAGGTGAAAGCCTAGGGGGCCTAAGTTCGTCCCTGGAGTACACATAAACATGAAAGGAGAGCACCAGCCTCATGACCGACTGGCATCCAGCACACTGCGACATTCTGTATAGACACGTACACATGTGTACACATACCAAACAATAAATGAAAAAAAAAAAAATGAGTAAGGTGAACAGCAGCTAAGGAAGGCACCCAGAATCAACCTGTAGCTTATATCTGCATACATGTTTGCACATCTGAATATATGTATACACCCACACAGATTCCTGGCATCTCTTTGTTGAGCTTAGTGGACATGGGCTTATCTTGAGTGATATCATTACTGTATTACGGGTCCAGGGCCAACTGGTGCAAAAGGGCATTAAGAGGAGGGGATGTGAACTATTCTCTCACTCTAGAGTGCTGTATGGGAGAAAAAGCAACACTGCTTTCATCCCTTTTAGGAGGCTCAGGCATATGCAGATGACAACAGCTTGTTATTTATGGAGACTTCAGCTAAGACTGCTATGAACGTGAATGACCTCTTCTTGGCAATAGGTAAGGTCAGCGTGCTCTCAGGTCTTCCTGTCTTTCCTGCTCTGTAGGTGAAGCTGTCATTAACCTAAACCAAGGATAGGTGGTTTATAAATGACTAGGGAATTCCTGGGGCTGGAGGGGTAGTATGGTTGTAGAGTACTTGCGTAGGAGTTGGAAGGCCCGAGGTTTGATTCCCCAGCACTTGCAGTTTTACTTTGCAAGAAGAAAAACAAGAACAACTTTTAAGTTGGGCATAGTGGTACATGCTTGTAATCCAGCACTTGTGAGGCCAAAATGCAAGTCTGAGGCTAACTGAACTACATAGTTACTAGGCCGGTTGTTTTCAAACTTCTAACACTGTGACCCTTTAATACATTTCTTCATGCTGCAGTGGCCCCCAACCATAAAATTATTCTATTGCTACTGTTGTGGATCATAATGTTAATATCTGATATGCAGGATTTCTGATAAGCCATCACTGAAGGAATCATGACCCCCAGGTTGAGAACCACTGTACTAGGCTGTAGCTGGCAAATGGGAGGCAGAGACCAGTGGATCTCTTGTGGGTTCAAGGTCAGCCCTGGTCTGTATAATGCATTCCTGGACAGCCAGAGAGACCCTGTCAAAGGAAAAAAAGAAATGTTGAAAAATACAGCCAGGGCTACTCATGTATTGATACTTGTCTCAAAAGAGGCAAAATAAAAAACAAACCCTTTATCTTTGCATGGTAGTACATACAAAATCTCACCAGTTAGTGGGCTAAATAAGAAAAATTGCAGCCTAAGCTATTTGTCAAGATAGGGTGAAACTTATAATCACAAAACTTGGGTAATGGAGACAAGAGGATCAAGGTCGTCCTTGGCTATTTAGCAAGTTTGAGGCCAACCTGGGCTATATAAGACTTGGCTTCAAAACAAAACAAGAAGTGGACTGGAGAGATAGCTCAGTGATTAAAAATGTGTATTGCTCTTGCACGGGACCCACGTTTGGTTTCAAGTCCCCACATCAGGTGGCTCACAACTAACCTCAGCTCTGAGCGCTGAAGGCACCTTGCATTCATGTGCACATACCCACTCATACATACATACTTAAGAGTTTAAAACAGAATAAAAAGAAACCACAAAATTAAAGTGGTGTACACAAGAGGTCCTGGGGTGTGAGCTGTATATGAGTAAAATCTATCATGCTTTGTTCTGTTTTGTTTTTAGCAAAGAAGTTGCCAAAGAGTGAACCCCAGAATCTGGGGGGTGCAGCAGGCCGAAGTCGGGGTGTGGATCTCCATGAGCAGTCCCAGCAAAACAAGAGCCAGTGTTGTAGCAACTGAGGGGGTGGCTAGTAGCAAACATGTATGGAGTTAGCGAGAGAGCTAAGAAATAACCTCCATCCCCACCCTCAGTACACAGCCCCATGGTAACAGCACACTGAGCCCTGGCTCCCACGGGCTGCCTCCCGACAGCTCCGTCATGGCACTTTTTAATGCTTCCGCAACCAACACCAGGCAGCTGTTGCCACTACTCTGCCCTACTCTGGGGTTTGGGGTCAAATCTCCCCAGGACCTTCCTTCCAAAACAAACTTTCTTCACTTTGTATTCTAGGTGCAAGACAGTGACCTTCTCATTGTTACTCCCCTCCCTGTGTTCTTCCCAGTGTTTCAGAGACTTTTGTCTCCTGCCTCCTCCCTCTTTCACCTCTCACCACTCCCTGTTCTTGATCCTGTTTCCTCCTCTGCCCAAGATGATGAAGTGTAACCCAGGGACTGAGAAGGGAGGTAGCATGCTTTAGTTACATTAAGGGCCCTGCAGGGAGAGGAAGACCCAGAGCAAGAGGGAGTAAGGAAACATTTCTTTCTCATTTTATTTATCTGGTAGGAGTTTCTTGTCTGTGAAACACTGCAGCACCCTGAGTTGGACTTGTGGAGGGTGTCCCTAGGTAGGAGTGAGAAGAGGGAGGCAAGCTTGCAGGCACTGATTGGGACTTGTATTAACCACTTGGATAAAGGCTGAGGTGCAGTGCCATCTGTAGCTCTGGGACTCATCCCAAGGCTGTTTTCCCTTGCCTAGACTCTTAGGTAGGTCTCCCCATCTGCTCATCCCACTCCAGTGTGGGGATGAGACCTCAGAGTGCTCCAAAGAATCTTCACTGGTTGCCTGCACCTTTAGCTCTGCTGTGATATTACTGGAGGAGGTACCAGTTTCTGATACCATCCTCTGGTTTATACATGGGTATTTTCCCTACCCTGGGCCATGAGATGGCCTTAGCCCCAAACACCAGGCCCCTGCAGTTTGCACTTTAATTGATGGTAGCTCAGTCAAGATACATGTGTTATGGGGGGTTTGATTGATTTACCTATCCTTCAACCTTTTTAATTACGTGGAATCTACAGTGTATGAGGTTTGGGGAGGCACTATAGAAAACAGTAACAGTGGCAGCTACTCTACCCAGTCTCCACTGCTGGCCTCCTCTGATTCATACCTCTATTGGGTATAGTCTGCACAGCTGAGGAGTGGCTTCAGAATAGGTTGGGCTATGGTAGTGTAAAGAAGGGTCAGGCAAGAGGAGTGTTCTATCTGCCCAGGGTTCATATTCAATTTGCTGTATCTTACCATGTCTTTTCTACTTCCCTGTAAATACGTATAGTCTTTATTCTGTACAGTTTATTCTGCCTCCTGTTTCCCATTAGGCCTCTTTTCTTTTCTCTTTTGTTAATATCTTGGGTTTAGTTCCTCCTTCTTCATCCCCCTTCCCCTTCCTCTTACTTAATCCGTGTACCACGAGAGGCTCCTACACACAGAGGCCACTTGTCCTGTGGCAGGTGCAGCTAGAACTGAATGAAGGTGCCTCACAACTGCCTTGTATCAGAGGGCTTTTGGTCCTTCCTATGTCTCCGGCCTCTATGTCCTTCATTAGGTGTTTGAGGGTTTCTGTGGGAAGCCATCAAGACAAGCAGGAACTTGATATTTCAGCCAGAAATTTGCAGAAGACAGAAAAGACCACAGTAACAAGAGTTGAGCCTTTGTCTACAGACCCGGTTAGTCTACAGACTGCTTTCCATTCCACAACAGCTGAGGACTCCAATGAAGCCAAGATTCTCAAGGACTCAGCTTCGGTTTTTCCACTTAGACCTCAATTCTCTTCCTTTTCCAGGGGCAGCCTTAGTTCTCATGGCCCTGAAACACACATACATTTCCTGCTTTACTTTCCTAGAACCCATTAGTCCTCCAGAGCACCTCCAAAAGGTGCGTCCTTTTACAAGTGGAAATTCTAGGGTGGCTCTCTAAGCCTCTTAGAAATTTAATTCCTTCTCTGCAAAAGTGAGAATGTTTTATTGCCTTGGGACGGGGAACCCATTTCCCTAGGCTTCTCCCCTCCCTCCCTCTCGTAGGAACAGTTATTAGCCTTAGCTCCTGGGCCTATCTGCTGCCTTCCCTCCACTCCTACCGGCTCTTCTGCCTTTATTTGAGCTCTGCTGGGCTTGAGGGTTATGTTCTCTCCCTACTCCTTTGTTATCTCTTTCCTTTTGATCAATTTTTAGGAGGAGGGGTCATCTTTTTTGCCTTTATATTTTTTTCCTAAGAAAGCCTTTGCCTTTCTTTCACTCTCCTAACATAACAATCGTGGTAACAGAATGCAACTGCTGATTTATCGATGTATTTAATGTAAGTAAAAAAGGAAAAAAAGAAAGTGCATTTGACTGTTGCTTTGTTTTTACTGTTTGTCTACCTGAAACTAAAAATTGGGAAGAAAGGGCCCAGCGAAACATCATGGAACCTCAATTACACCTCCCTTCTCATTATTTTCTGTAACCAGTCAAAGACCTAATTTGGAAAATAACTTTGTTTGTTTGTTTGTTTGTTTGTTTGTTTGTGAACTCCTGCTCAAAGACACAGATGACTTATCCAATGTGACTGTGTTTTATCTTTTTGTATGTGGTGGTATGGTCTGTGGATCTCTTGAACCATTGAGACTGGAAAGAGGAGTGTCATATCTGAACTATTAGAGAAGCAGTATGCAATAGTTTTTGCAGTTTGCTAGGAATACTAGTTTCTGAGTTGGATCTATAACCTAAAGATTGAAAAGAAAAACACACTGGGGAGATGGCTCAGCAGTTTAAAGCACTTGTGACCCTTGCAGAGGACCTGGGTTCAATATCATCCACAAGGTGACTCAGCCATCCATAACTCCAGCTCTAGGGTTTCTGATGTCTTAAAGGCACAGGGTACACATTGGTACACATACATGCATGCAGGAAAAACATGCATACAAATCCTAAAAAAAGAAAAACAGCTGGGTACAGTGACACTTGCCTGTAATTGCAGCTACTTAGGAAGGCTAACGCTGTAGAATGTGTTTAAAGGCATCTTAAATATTAGTTCAGCAAGACCATAAGTCCCAAAAAGAAAAAAAAAAAAAACTACTAAATTAACTTTGAGTGATGAAGTAACTTTTACCCCAACAAAAATAAAGTTTTACCTGGATCTGTTTCTTATTTCAACTTGAAGTCCTAATCTGTCATAGTCTAGAGAGGCCTGAAACACAGAACATGAAAAACCTAAGAGTCGGGGTATAGGTGCAAGAGTTCTTCCTGGCGGTGGTGGTGCATGCCTTTTAATCCCAGCACTTGGGAGGCACAGGCAGTCAGATCTCTGAGTTCCAGGTCAGCCTGGTCTGCATAGGACAGCCAAGGCTACACAGAGAGACCCTGTCTCAAACCAAAACAAACAAACAAAAAAAAAAAAAAAAAAAAAAAAACGTTTTAGGTGAGAAAGAATGTGCTTGGTGTCAGGCAGCCCTTACTTTCCAAGCCATTTTTCCTAACTCAGCAGCTGTGGGCCTTTGTGAAGTTAGCAATGCTTCAGCCTCTCCAGCTGTGACATGAAAAGAACTTGAAGTTTGAGCCAGGTGTATGGCACACCTCCATTCTCAGCACATGGGAGTCCAAGCCCATCTGAGCTGCAGGACATGCCAGCTCCATGTAATACAATTGGGTGGCATTAATAGATCGGGGAGGAAACCATACCAACTGTGTAATTATTTCCTTGACAGGCTCTTTGTGTGTAGTCCAGACTAGCCCCAGCTTTCCATGTGAGGAACATAGGCCTGCACTGTAATACCAGCTGAAACTTTTCAACAACAGTTAAGGTCTGGCAGTGGTGGCACACACCTTTAGTCCCAGCACTCAGAAGACAGAGGAAGACGGATCTCTGTGAATTCAGGGCCAGCCTGGGCTACAGAGCGAATTCCAGGATAGCTAGGACTATTCTGAAACCCTGGTGGGGGGGCGGGTTGTTGCAGCATTTTCATCCTGAAAACTTTAGAGCCGGCCAGTATCACCGCTTCACTGTACCTTCTCTGAGCACACTTCCCTGGTCGGGGTCTTTGTTTTGATTGCTCGAAAAAATCTGGAGAACTGAAAGGGAAAAGATGATCTTCCAATGTAAAGCTTTGTTTTAAAGCCGGATACAGTGGCGCACGGCTGTAATCCCAGCACTCAGAGGCAGAGGCAGGCGGGTCTGTGAGTTCGAGGCCAGCCTGGACTGCCAAGTAAGGCTACACAGAGAAAGCCTGTCTCAAAAAAGAAAAAAGTTTTGCTTTAAATTGATACGACTGGTCTCTAGAGGGCAGTCTATGAATTTTTGTTCCCGGGGCGCAGGTTAAGTGTCAAATTTTCAGTCCCTAGTAAATGGTAAAGAGTAATGACGAATTTTTCTACTTATGACCTTTGCTTTGATATACAATGTTTTATTTACTTTTGTTAAACTGCCAGTTTTTCTTGTTAAAGTAGATGCTTTTTAAAAAAATCACTACGTAAAATTTAAAGTCAGTGTTCAGGACTGGTTAAGGTGGCACGCTTTTAAGCCCGGCACTCTGGGTTCCCGGCCAGTCTGGCCTACAAAGCTAAACTCCAGACCAGCCAGGATTACGTAGTGAGACCTTGTTTCAAAATAAATAAATAAATAAATAAATAAATAAATAAATAAATAAATAAATAAATAAATAAATAAATGGTTTTTCAGTGTTTCTGATTTCGCACTTCAGAAATCCACTCTGAGGATCTCTAGCCACTATCTTAGGCGTTGTTTGTTGTTATTCCTAGCCGTGCTTTCCCTAAAACAAGCAGGGCTCAACAGCCGCAACACTAAAAACTGCTGAGGTGCGGGATACAGCCGCAGCACTGGGGTGGGGGGCTCCCCCATATCGTGCCCACCTCCGGAGCCCCGGTCACCCTCCGCTGCCTAGGTGCAGGGCGCCTGCGGGGCCTCCCGTTGCCCTACGGAACTGCGGTCTGCTCAACCCTGTGTGTCCGTGGACGGCACAGGCCTGCACCAGCCGGGAGCCGGTGACGCCCCGCCCCCGCCTCGCCGCCGGCCACCCGGCTACAGCTGCCAGTCCTGGTCGGGAACAGCTGCGAAGCTGGAGAGGCCAATGGCTGCGGCGCGGGCGAGGGGCGTGAGCACGCCTGCACACACGTGACGTCAAGGCCGAGCCCCGCCCCGGCTCGCTGGGATCGCTCGTCCCGCGCGGGGCGGGGGAATTGTTCTGCTGCCGACATCCAGCCCGGTAAGGGGACTGCGACCAGGAGGGAGAGGTGGGAGGGCGACGGTGGGTCCAAGGGGACCAGTGAGGCTCCAAATCTTAGGAGTAGCAGAAGGACCAGCACCTCCATTTACGATGTGCGGGTGCTCCTGGGGTCGCAGGCTGCTGTTCTGTCCAAATTCTGGACATAGACAACCCCCTCCCTAAAGCGTACCGGAAAGTAAGCGCTTGCACCGTGGAGTGGCAGGACACCCTTCCCAAACCTGGAGCCAGGCGGTAAAAGCGGGTTGCTGAAATTTAGGGTATATGTCAGGAAGAGCACTGATCCCCTTGGCCCAAGCAAAAAGCGAAGAATTCGCTCTTATTTCCATCTTCCTTCCTTCCCCATCCATAAGAGCCCCATCCCTAGCATCTCAGCAACCAGCAGCTTCTAACTTCTCTCCACTTTGACTCTCCTGGGTCAGAGCGGCACTGGGTTGTGAGGAAGACACTGCTGCAGGACAGAGGGCAGAAAAATTAACTTCCTTCACTAGCCCATCCCCTGACACCCTGGCCACTGACTGCTCGCTTTGCTGAAACCACCTGAATGGCATAGACTACAAGGTTAGGGTGGAGACTGTGAGCTGGGGTTGAGTTCCCAGGTCGGGTATTTATTTAGAGGGGTGGAGGAAGAGAAGAGGAAGGCCTGAGTGAATGTTATTACTTGTTTACTCTTCATTTCACTTCCTCTGGGTAGAGATGAGGATACAGGTTCGTGGAAACCTGCTTGTGTTGCCTGGGGAGCTGGTTAATGACAAGGCCTGGTTTTATAAACCCAAGGCAGCTTGCTTCTAGGGTTTGGGCCCCTTCACCCCATTAGGCTGCCACTGCTGCTCATCTCTATTTTCATCAGTCTCCCTTTAGATATAATTACAAGCTGTGTGAATGGGGATATAGCTCAGTGGTAGGGCTGTAACATTCTTAAGGCCTTAGATTCAATACCCAGTGTCATTAAAACACACACTCACACCAGCAAACCTGTATCTGTCCTCTAGTCCCTTGGCCTGGGGCATTGCTCTTTCTAGAGGCCTTTGTACTTTTCTGTCCGCACTCCACCCCCATTCCCTCTGAAGGGCTTCGAGTTTACTCTAAGAACCCATTTGGACCTTGTATTCTGAGCTCCCCCAAATGTTCCCCTCACAGAGACTTTTCTGGTTTTGAAACCTAGAATCTTCTTCATCTTCTTCTTCTTCTTCTTTTTCTTCTAGGTCCTCCACAATGCTGCTGCGGTTTTACCAAACTGTGGCTGCAGGGCTTCCTCAGGCCTTCAGGTAGGCTATCCCATTCCAAGACTTATCTCCTAGTCCATCTCATAATTGTCTTATCTGGCAGATATTTATCTTATCTGGCAGATAATATAGTGCAGAGGTAGGAGAAAGTGAAAGCCATATTTCACTGGTCCTACCCATCAGGAAGAAACTGAATTCCAACTGAAAACCAGTGACTAATGAGGGAGAGGCAGCCACAGGACTTCTTGTGCTACCTCTGTCTTCCAGAGTCAAGTCAATGCCCTTGAGGCTGTGCATTCAAGCATGCTCCACAAACGATTCAGCAAAGCCCCATCCTCCTGGCCTCACCTTCCCTGATGGTAACTCAAGGACCAGGGGATGGAGAGCCGTGGGAACCCTGCTCGGCCTCGGTGCGGTACTGGCCTATCATGAGCATCGGTGCAGGGTAAGCGGGAAGGGGCTTCAGTGTCGCGACAAAGGGGTCTTACGTGCCCTTGCCTATGACGGCTCTGTCTTCACGAACTGCAGAAATACTGCAGAAGTTCCCTTAACTTCCCAGGCTGACTGTGGGTGAGGTCAGAATGACCTAGAGTGATTTCATATTCTGTTCCTTTTGCTCTCTCCCTTCCCTACCCATAGGCTGCTCAGGAGGCACCACAGATGTACACTAAGGAGGATGTGCGTGCCCACAACAGCGCTGAAACTGGAGTCTGGGTGACTCTAGGCTCTGAGGTCTTTGATGTCACAACATTTGTGGACCTACATCCAGGTGGACCGTCAAAACTGATGCTAGCAGCTGGGGGTCCCCTAGAGCCTTTCTGGGCCCTGTATGCTGTTCACAACCAGCCTCATGTACGAGAGTTACTGGCTGAGTATAAGATTGGGGAACTGAACCCTGAAGATAAGTTGGCCCCCACCTTGGAGGCCTCTGACCCTTATGCTAATGATCCTATTCGTCATCCAGCCCTGAGGATTAATAGCCAGCGCCCCTTTAATGCAGAGCCTCCCCCTGAACTGCTAACAGAAAACTACATCACACCAAACCCTATTTTCTTCACCCGGAACCATTTGCCGGTACCTAACCTGGACCCAGACACCTATCGCTTGCATGTCGTAGGGGCACCTGGAGGCCAGTCACTGTCTCTGTCCCTGGATGATTTGTATAAGTTTCCCAAACATGAGGTCACTGTCACCCTACAGTGTGCTGGCAACCGGCGCTCTGAAATGAGTAAAGTCAAGGAAGTTAAAGGTCTGGAATGGAGAACAGGGGCCATCAGCACAGCACGCTGGGCCGGGGCACGGCTCTGTGATGTGTTAGCCCAGGCTGGTCACCAACTCTGTGAAACTGAGGCCCATGTCTGTTTTGAGGGGCTGGACTCAGACCCCACTGGGACTGCCTATGGAGCATCTATCCCTCTGGCTCGGGCCATGGACCCTGAAGCTGAGGTCCTCCTGGCATATGAAATGAACGGTCAGCCTCTGCCCCGAGACCACGGCTTCCCAGTGCGGGTGGTGGTTCCTGGAGTGGTTGGTGCCCGCCATGTCAAATGGCTGGGCAGAGTGAGCGTACAGTCAGAGGAAAGCCGTAGTCACTGGCAGAGGCGGGATTACAAAGGCTTCTGTCCGTCAGTGGACTGGGACACAGTAGACTTTGACCTGTCTCCGTCCATTCAGGAACTGCCTATCCAGTCAGCTATTACACAGCCTCAAGACGGCGCAATGGTAGAGTCAGGAGAGATGACTGTCAAGGGCTATGCATGGAGTGGTGGTGGCAGGGCTGTAATTAGAGTTGATGTGTCCACGGATGGCGGGCTGACCTGGCAGGAAGCCGAGCTAGAGGGGGAGGGACAGCAGCCCAGGAAAGCTTGGGCTTGGCGCATATGGCAGTTGAGAGTTCATGTGCCAGCTGGGCAAAAGGAATTGACCATCATTTGTAAAGCCGTGGATGACAGTTACAATGTGCAGCCAGACACTGTAGCCCCCATCTGGAACCTGCGAGGCGTACTCAGCAATGCCTGGCACCGCGTCCATGTTCAAGTAGTCCCATGAAAGCATGGGACACAGCCATTCCATGGGGCTGATGTCTCCTATCCAGTCCTCATTTTGCATTGCTCGGATTCTGCAGCCATATGTGCAGTGTGTAAGCACTGTCCATTACTGTTTCCTTTTTGTTTCTTTGTCTTGCTTTGGTTGTGTTGTTGTGTTTTGAGACAGGGTTTCACTGTGTTGCCCTGGCTCTTCTGGAATTTATTCTATAGACCAGGCTGTCCTGGAACTCAGATTTGCCTTCCTCTGCCTCCAAAGTGCTGGGAGTGCCACCAGAGCCCAGTGTATGCCACCAGCACCAGGCTACATAACTATTTTCTGTTGCCTCTGGGATGCAAAGGGGTTCCCCTCTTAGAGCTCTATTTTTAAAAATATGCCAATAAAAGCGTTTGTTATGACTGGAAGCTCCTGGGCCTGGACAGTGAACATGTTGCAAGAGGGAGTCCTAGGGGGAAGGATTTGCAGTGGCTGGAAGATGGAGGAGTGGGTCCCCCTTCTCAGGTCTGCTATCATCTGCATCACCACCTAAAATATTGACCGGGAGATACCTACCAAGAGAGAAGAGACTTTTTAAAAAAGTGTTTGGCACCCTCAAACCGTTTCCCCAGGCAGGATTTCTGCTCCCTAGGCAGGATTGACAAAGAATGCAAATATTGTCTTGAGGAGGGCAGCGGCAAACCTTGGCACCAGAGGCAGACGTTCTGGGGCACGTAGGGCGCCCCCTCAAAGTGCACCCTAGTTTGCAAATTAGATGCAGATGAAGGGATAAATCTGACTTAACGTCCACACAGCAGGGCCTTTTGGACTTAAATCTTTCGGCGCTCGGCTATTCTCCCCTAGCTCCTTTTTTTTCCCTCAGCAGTCTCCCGGGCTTGGGGGCGCTCGGAGTTTGGCCCAGTCGCCTGTCGCCTGGTAGTGGGACCGGAAGTTACTCAGGAGGGGGGCAATGGCCGTAATCGGGGGGGCTTCGTGGGGGGGTCGGTCCCTCCTCAGGTGAAGCCCCTGATGGAGATGGAGCCGCCACCGCTGAGCGCCCGGATCCCGGCTTCGGTCTGGCTGCCGCCGCCTCAGTGACCCCATTCCCCCCGCGCTGGGCCACCGGGGCCAGAGTGGGGGACTCCCCACCCCTCTTCTCCCACCCGACGCGGTCCTTCTCCCCCAACCCCCAATACCCTGTGCGCGCAGAGACGCCTCAGGTGAGTGAGGGGCGGGGCCCGCGCGAGGCGGGGGCGGGGCTTGGTCTTCGGGGCGGGGCTTTGGCGGGGCCGAGAAGTGAGGAGTCGCAGCCTGGGGGAGGGGCGGGCTGCGTCTGAGGGACAGGAGCTTGTGTGCAGCACCTTGCCCAGAAAAGGCTGAAGACAGACAGGAACGGACATGTGGGAAATAACTAGGACAGAACAGGGACAGAACGGCAAAAACAAAGCGGCTGAGGCCCGGAGAAGGCGGCAGGAAAAGACCCAGGCCTCCCTAGAACTGTCTCCAGGAGGCCGTGCAAGAGTGGGAGAGACGAGAGAATGGAGCACTGTTTGTACTTCTGTTTGGGTGAGAAGCCTGGAGAACTTGAGAAGCAGGGCTAGGAAGGAAAAGACCTCGGGAGCCCTGGAGAGGAACACGGGGGAAGCCCTATGGTAAACCTCCGAACGGGAGCCACACCAACTTGGGAACCAAAATGCCTCTTTCTGAGTATTAAAACCATCCTCAGTGTACCTCCTCATACAGAACCATCTCAGTTTTGTTTGTTTGTTTGTTTGTTGTTTTACCCTTTATATGTTAGAGTTGTATTGTGTGGGTTAGTGGTTTGGTTGGTTGGTTGGTGAGTGTAGGTGTATGAGTGGTTGTGTGTGTGTGTGTATGTGTGAGAGTGCAGGTTTCTGCGTGTGAGGGGGGAGTGACAGTGTGTATGTACAGCATAACTGCATGCCAGGGTGAGGACAACTTTGGAATCAGTTTTCTCTTTCCATCTTTACGTGGGTTCCAGGGATTGAACTGATGTCACAGGTTCCAAGGCAAGTGAGAATCATGGTTGGCTTTTCTGAGAGAGTCTCGTGTACCCCAGGCTGGCCCTGAATTACGAAGCTCACAATGATCTCCACCTCCTGAGCTTGTGATTCTCCTGCCTTAAACTTCAGAATGCTGGAATTGCAGGTTGTGTCTAGCTGAGTTTTCCTTCAGTTTCTCTGTGGGTTTTTGTTTATTTGGTTGGGGTTATGGTTGCTTGGTTGATTTGACACAGTATCTTTCTATGTCCCCCTCATTGTCCTGAAACTCAGTCTGTAGCCCACGTTGGCCTTAGTCTCGCAGAGATCCAGTCACCTTTTTCTGCTCCTGAGTTCAGGGATTAAAGGCATGTTCCTGCCTTTAATGACATGACCCATGCCATTAAAACTATGATAAGTTTTCTGTGTGGGGACTGGGATCTCATGTTTCCAAGGCTAGCTTCAAATTTGCTATAGCTGAGGATGACTTTGAACTTATGAAACTTCTGCCTCCATCTCTCAAGAGTAGGGATTACAGGCCATCACCACATAGGATTGTGTTTTATATTTAAATCATGACTAACCCTTTCTTGGGAAAAGCAGAATGTTCAGTGGAATGTGGACTTTCTGCTATGAGCTGTTTTAGGAAGGAGGTACCTCATTTGCTCCTCCAAGATCGAGATGATAAACTCTTATCAAGATCTGATTTATCAACGACTGGCCTATGTAAAGCCTTGCCCATCTTCTGTCTCCACACTCCCTTTTCCCATAAATGAAACTGTCAACTGTTACACCCCCTACTGGCAGGGACTGAGGCCCAGCTGAGCCATTGCCTACAGTGTCCCCTGCACTTCCTTAATCTTTGGGGGGAATTAAACTCAGGTAAAACCAATTTTTGTTTGTTTCAAGACAGAAAGAATTTTCCGATGAACCAGTATGAAGAAAACTGGTGGCTGGCAAGATGGCTTGGTGGTTGAAGGTGCCTGTCACCAAGCTTTGATGACCTAGCTTGAGTTCAATCCCCAGGACGCACAGGGTGGAAGGTAGAACCAGCTCTGAAATTTGTCCTCTAATTTCCAGATGCATGCTTGTGGTGTGCACACATAGTGTTTGCCTTGCGAGCATGAGGACCTGGGTTTGAACCTCCATCATCCATGTAAAAGCTGAGTGCCACAAACCACATCTGTAATCTCAGTGCTTTGGAGGACAGAGACAGATGGATTTCTGGATTCATTAACCATCCAGCCTAGCCAATGAATAACCTCCAGGTTCAGTGTGAGACTCTCTCAAAAAATAAACTGGGAGCCAGAGAGACGGCTCAGTGGTTAAGAACACTTGCTGCTTTTTGAGAAACCAAAGTTCAATTCTCAGCACCCACACAAGGGCTTGTAGCCAGCTCTGTGACTCCAATTCCAGGGGCTGTGAGACACTCTTCTTCCAGCCCTTGCAGGCAGTAGTCATGTACTTGGTACACGGACACACACATACATGCAAAACACCCTGTCTCAGTCACTGTTCTATTGCAGTGAAGAGATGAAGAGAAAGCATTTAAATGGAGGCTTGCTTATAGTTTCAGAGGTTAAGTCCATTATCAGCATGGCGGCATGCCAATAGTCACTGGAGCTACAAGAGACTGTGGCTTTTGAAACCTCAAAGCCCACCCCACTGACACACTTCCTCTAACAAGGCCACACAACCTATCCTGTCCATTCAACTAGTGCCACTCCTTTGTGACTAAGCATACAAATATATGAGTCTTTGGTGACTGTTATTCAAACCATCATACACATACAAAATATAATGGGGGAAAAAAACCTACATGGAGCCCAACATGGTGACACACATCTTTAATCCCAGCGCTCTGGAGACAGAGGCAGGGGGTCTCTGTGAGTTCAAAGCCAGTAAGAGCTACATAGTAAGATCCTCTTTCAAAAATAAAAGGGCTGGAGAGATGTTTTGCATGCAGGTATGATACCCTTGGGGGTCACAAGAGGGAATAAAATTCTCTTGAACTGAAGCTATAGTTATAAGCCACCATGTAGGTGCTAGTAATCAAACCTGTGAGTGCTCCTATCTGCTGAGGTGTCTCGTCTCTCCAGTACCTCCACTTTTGATAAGTAAGCATGTCTCAAAAATAAAATAATAAATTGAAGGAGCCCATGTGGTGGTGCACGCCTTTGATCTGAGCACTCGGGAGGCAGAAGCAAGCAGATCTCTGAGTTCGAGGCCAGCCTGGGCTACAGTTAGTTCCAGGTTGGCCAGGACTACACAAAAACCTTATTTATTTATTTATTTATTTATTTACTTACTTACTTACTTCCTTGTTTAAATGAAGGACTGGAGAGCTGGCTCAGTGGATGTCCCCTCAGACAAAAACAATCTTAGAAGAAACTGACTTTACCATTGGAAGGCAGAGCTGCCTTTGCCTGGGTAGCCTTAGACCTTTATCTTGCCCTAGTCAGTCAATGGCTGGTGATGGCCGCTGAGTGTAGTTAGTTCACAGGCAACTCCTGAGCAGTCCCCTTCATAAAGAAAATGCATGTTTCAAGACATGACCTTTTTCCACACTAGTCGGTTCTGAAGCCAAAGGTTATTTCTTTCAGGTGTTTGAAATTCTGTAGAAGTTTTGATTGAGGTGGGGTGGCAGAAAATTGAGGCACCCAGCAAGTACTGTCTTTCATGGCAATGCTGGTCGGAAGACCCTGATACGTGCTGGTCGGAAGAGCTCTCTGTTGTTGTTTTCTAACTTTTTTTTTTAATTTCCTCTTTGTTTTAAATCTGCAGCTTATGCTTTCTTTCCAGCGTGAGAGAAACTTATCCCAGGTTTTGTTTGTTTGTTTGTTTTATATGGTATTCTGCCTGCATGTGTGCCTGCACACCAGAAGAGGGCACCAGATCTTGTTATAGATGGTTATGAGCCACCATCTGGTTGCTGGGAATTGAACTCAGGACCTTTGGAAGAGCAGCCAATGCTCTTAACCTCTAGCCATCTCTCCAGCCCTTATCCCACATTTTAATACCCCCCATTTTCCTCCCACCATCCACAAAAGAATTTTTTTCTCTCAAATTGACATATCCTTATGACCCCCCCTCGTTCACCCCTTCTTTACATACACTGGGTGCACACGTAAGCATGCTAGCTAAGGATGTCAAAGAGGGATGCGTTATTGTTGGTCAGGGGCTTCTAGCCTCCCTTTACTCATTTAACCTGGAGGAGCAACAAGGGATGTGGACAGTGCTGTGGCAGAGACCTACCTTTTTTTATTGGTGTCTTAGTTAGGGTTCTATTGCTGTGAAGAGACCAAGGCATGACCAAGGCAACTCTTTCAAAGGACAACATTTAATTGGGGCTGGCTTACAGTTTCCGAGGTTTTATCTTCATGGTGAGAAGCATGGCAGCATACAGGCAGACATGGTCCCGGGCATTA